CCCCAAAACCCCAAAACCCCAAAACCCCAAAACCCCTTAAACTTTTTCCAAATAAAAACTTTGTTTTATATTTATTCCGATCTTGCTTTCACTAAGATCCATAATATTCTTCTCAACTAAATCTAATCTTAAATGAATCAAATTGTGAAAATCGGAAATTCCTAGATCATTAGAAATTAGAACGAATTCTGAGAAGCCATTATTTATTCAATATGTATTCCTTTAAGACTCGTTATCAGCTTTTGATGGTGCTCCTTGAGTAACTGTATCTCTCCTTCCAGCTCCTTAATCTCAAATGTTCTATTATTATAATCTGCCTTCAAGGAATCATCATTCTCAATTCCAGTCTGTTGCCTAAGCCTCTGGCTCTGCTTTCTAAATTGTTCTCTTTCCTCCTTAACCTTATTTAGTCTCTCCTTGGCTTTATTCAGTTCGTCCTTGATCTTCTGGTGCTCAGCGTCTAGCTTAGTGTTTTTCTTTAGCTTCTCTTCTGTATGGGAGAGGGTGATTACAGCAATTGTGATCTTCTTCTCTAATTTTTGAAGTTCTTCATTTCTTTCTTCAATTTTCTCGTTCAAAGTCTGATTTTCGATCTTTAGTTGTTCGAAATCTATTAGATGGAGACCATCTGCCAGCTGCTCCTTCTTTTTAAGCACTTTTTCCTTGTTGGCAAGACGATTACGCAATGCAATGTTTTGGAACCTAAAGTGATGGACCTGGCTGTCCTTTTTCTCCTCACGTGTTTCCCATTCATTTAAGATTTCAGGCTTGATCTTCTTGCCAGTACGAGGAACAACAGAGTTTTCAGCAACTGAACGCTTTAAATCTTTGAATTGTTTCTGGATTTCATCACATTTAGCCTGCTTTTCGTTCAGCTTGGCTTGTAGCTCAGTTGCCATTTTATTATAACGATCCTGAGTCTCCTTCAGATTAAATCTGACTTGATGCACATTAGCCAAAGTGTTGAGGTATTTATGCTCATTCATAGAAACATCTGGCTGCTTGTCATATTGCTCATATGTGGAATCCATTGTGATGATCTCTCTTTGAAGTTCATTATTTTTAGTCTTGAGTTTCTCTCTTTCTTCAAGAGCTTCTTGAATAGCAGCTACCAATTCTTTCTTCATTTCTTCTGCTGAAGGTAGTCCTTCTGGTTCTTCCATTGAATCCTCTTTCTTATCAGTAGATTGAGATTCAGTCTCATCCTCCTCAGACTCAGAATCTGATCCTTCTTCTTCAAGAGAGTCAGAATCTCCGCTTTTCGCTGGAGTACTTGGATGATCTTTATCATCATCATCTGCGACACTTTTATTACCAGGTCTTGAGGAAGCATCGCCTCTTGAAGTTGCATCTCTTTTTGATTTATCATCTTCAGTTGCATCCCCCTTAGAAGCTTCATCATCTCTCCTTAGTCGACCACCAGCAACTGGAAATCCAAAGCCTCCTTCAGCATTTTGGTTCTTTTGGGCATCTTTGATAATCTTATCTTCAAGCTCCTTTTTCTCTCTTTCTTCTTTCTCTTGTTCTTCTTTGATACGATCTTGATCATCTTCAATGACTATTCTTGGATCTGGGTCAAGCACCATTGGCATTCTGCCAGCAATCTGGAGATAGTTCACATTTATTCTTTCATCTGAAGGTTTACCATACTCAATGGGAGGATTTATTTTTCTGACATAGAACTCAAGCATTTTTGGATCATTAGAATAGAATAAGTCAAGAGGACCTTCAAAAACAATAGTGAAGTTTTTAGTCTCTTCATTGAATTCGATTTGAGGAGGTCCTGCAATGACAAAGTCCTTCTTAAGATTTTTCAAAGCTACAACTCTGACTGCGTAAATTCCAACATCAAACTCCTTCTTCTCATTCTCAATCATCTGTCCTTCAATCCTGGCTCCGTCGTCTTCGGTGCCTTCTACTTTGCAGATGTGGACGCTCTTGCGGAAATACAGCTCCACGATCTTGACTTGCTCTTTGTTGAAAGCACACCCGATGGCGCAGTGAGTGTACTTGGGCGCCAGGATGATGTCTCGTTCTTCTTGAAGCTCAAACAGCAATCCATGAGCGTCCATGAAACACCCAGGGATTTCTTTGTCGCCGTCACTTGCATCCAAGTCAAGGTAAGCTTCTCCGACAAGACACTCGACCTGGTCGCCAACAAACATTTCTTTCTCCATAATGGCTTTGAGCTGCTCGTTGTCTGGCCTGTTGCTGAGCAAGAACTCTGCGTAAGCATTTCCAACTTTGTTTCCGACAAGATCGTAGTGCAAAGTTTTCTTTTTATATTTGTCTCTGAGTTCGTTGATGGATCTGAGGACGTCTCTTCTGGTCTTTCTTCGAGGGTCAAGCGGAGGCAAATGGCCGAACTCAGGGTGGTTCGCAAAGTTAAGTTCTTCATTGGACTCATCATCATGCATATCCTCAGTGAGACCATCTCCGTCCATATGATGAGCCATCATGCCATCATCACTGATGCCATCTTGGCCAGGGGAGAGTCCAAGATGCCCCTCTCCTTCAGGACTATCGCCTAACTGTAAATGATGTGCCATGAATCCTTCTCCCTCCATATCATACTCTCCCTCCATGAGGTACTCTCCTTCCATTGCATACTCTCCTTCCATAGCATATTCTCCTTCCATGGCCATATACTCTCCTTCCATATCAATGTATTCTCCTTCTGGGAATTCTTCTGGGTCCATACTATTATCTTAAAGAAATTTTATAATTTTTTAAATTCAAATAAAAATATTTATTTAGGGGTTTTGGGGTTTTGGGGTTTTGGGGTTTTGGGGTTTTGGGGTTTTGGGG